GCAGGATCGCATAGGCTAAGTGCGTATCTTAAGCAGTGAGATCTGATTGGATGCGCCTCGAAACAAGGTGCCCAATCAGCTTAGACGTACCAAACTATGAAACAAAATTCCATTTCCCGTTTTGTCACTATGAAGACATCCTTTCCACACAAAACTGCGTCGATTGTCTGTACCTGATGAGGCTTGAGGGCACCAACACCGAAAATATCACGATTCATGGGCGCCGCCATTTTGTTTAAAATGAAACGCCAAAGAGGGATTTGTAACACGCAAACTGATTGGACAATGATTAGCCACAACTGACTACTGGGGGCGCTGTTAGAATATGCATATTTGATGGTCGTTCTGCCAAGGTCTGTTTAGAGGCTTGGCCAAATAAACTTAGAACTTGGCTAGCGAAGATGCGCAATGAACAGCGTATCAATTTCAATCACCACGAACAAAAGACATGTTGCGCCTTTCTAAAGTGTCTCTTTAATTATGTAAAACATATGCATATGAAGTCGCCAAATCTGAGACCACCGCTAGCTCAGAACAACCCATATCTGAAATGGCTTGGCTTATGCGTGAGCGTCTCCACAAGTAAAATTATTCTGATGCCGCCAGGATAGTTCAGCAAAGTGCATCTCATATGTTTTTTTGTGAACAGCAATGCCTCATCTAAGTCATATGGTCAACAAGGGACAGGGTACACCCACCAATTCTCAAATAGCCCTTAAATGCAATAACCAGGATGGATGCCCACAATTTTGAATTAAAGCGCAGTGGTTGTCGCGCAGCACGTGTTCGAATTTCATGTAAATAAACAAAGTATTTTACGCGCGTTGTATACGTCGCTATGAGTCCCACATCGAACAGGACGCGGCGCTATGACTGCGATCCTTTAAAGTCTCAAGTTGAATGATGAGTTTGATATAATATGCCACACGGTGAGACTGGGTAGTAGCGGGAGAAATTAGTCAGACGTGTTGCCTGACAGGTGAATACTAGACGATAAGAACCGTCTTAGTTTTTTTACGGATAATCTCACTCTACCCTCACAGAAACCACCCACTCCATAGATACGTAACTAAGAATAATTAGAGCGTGGTCCACATTTAGAGCTTATGATGTACACGCTTAGACATAAAGAGTGGCGGGGTCGATCGCCCCGCCCCCTCGATAAAATGTTGGGGGCGTCGCCCCTCCAAAATCAAGCTTCAAAATTTGACCCTCAAAATACAGGAAATAGCGTTTCAGAGGGTCTATATTTCAAATTTTGTAAGGGGAGCATACCCCCGGACCCCCTAGTAAAGGTTTGTGAGCAGACAATAAACAATAAAGGAATTCTGCAAAACTTGCAAATGTTAGTGCAAAACAGTGTTAAACAAGTGGTTTTGACGGCCATCGCTCGTTATAGAAGGCTGCCTTGAAAATGAAACTACATGTCGCGTCTAACATCACAGTGTTTTAGCCGTGGACACAAGCAAGCAACAGCTGTGAATCTGTAATGCGTGCGAGATTCTGAATTATTCGAGTTACGAACATCGAGTTACGAACACCAAGCTATCAAAACACCGAGTTACACAAATGACCACGCCCATATTTTAGAAACCATGACCACTTTTAAAAACCCACGCCCAAATTGTAACTCGATGCTTAGTTAACAGAACTGCGAGTTACCGGCAATATATTTTTGTTTTTTGTTGTCCACATTTAGTAACTCGAACTTTAATAAATAGTTAACCGAACACGGATTTGTTGTTTTAACGTTCAAATTTAATAACTCTAATTTTAATTGACCAAATTTCAAAACATAAAACGTTAAACAAATCAACAAATTTATGTTGCCCATAATACGAAGTTCGGTTAATTGTTAAATAAAGTTCGAGTTAATAAATGTGAACGTTAAACAACATTAGCAATTTATGTTGCCCGTAACTCGAAGTTTGGTTAGCTGTTAATTGAACATCGAGTTGTAATTTGTGCGCGGTTTTGCAAAAGTGGGCGTTTTTTCTGAAATATGGGCGTGGTCATGTTTGTAACTCGATGTTCGTAACTCGATGTTTTCGTAACTCGATGTTTGTAACTCGGTGTCCGTAACTCAAACAATTCAGCATCTCAATGTGTGCATGTACGTCTCTCGTTATCGCATGTAACATTGTAGCTATCCCCCAGGAGCACCTCCGTCTAAAAGCAGCGATTTTTAACAGACCCCTGTAGCCTGTCTCCGATATTACTACGCATTCTTATGTCGTTAGTATTTGTACGGCGACAGTGTACGAAACGCGGTGGATGGACTGTGATGATGTCACACTATCGAGCAAACATAAAAGTTTAATATTCGCCGTTTGCCTTTAATTAATTTTTATCTCGTCGCATTCACTTGCATCATATTTCATCACCCCTGTAATGTATCATTTCTGCTGATGGGGCATAGTTCGAATTCCCTTGCGTTGATGAGCAGGTCATACCAACAATGACACCCGTGTGATCATGGAATGGAGAATCCTCACAAAACAAGGGGTGATATTTCTTTGACATAAATTTGAAACAATTTTAATAATAATATGCGTCTTAATTTAGACAACACGTAGCCATGAAGTTAAATCATGAACCGCAGAACAAAAGTAGTTGACTCCACGACCTCTCGATCGTCTATCTTTCAATGACAGATGTCTGAATTCACATATACTATCTCCCGGCAATTTCCACGTGTTTTCCACTGATTGGGTGCGCCTATATCTTCAGTATCTTCTATCTATGAGTTGCCGGGACGGTCAAGACAGTGATGGTATCATATTTATTTGGGGATCTTGAGCTGAATTTAAATGTCATGCTATTGTGGATTTTTAAGCATATCACTCACTATAAAATGTGATGTAATTTTTTGAAAATATTACGATTCATATCAATAACAATATATGAATTGTTCTGCCCATGTCATGCAGTCAAATTTAGAAATATATTTATGACAAATACTTTCATTGTAGAAAGCAAAACAAATTGAAATTGCAAGATAAATTATTCCATTTTCCCATGAATATTTCAGACTCTTGTTTCACGCAAAATTGTTCGAAATCCTCTATTTGTATTTATTTACTGTATTATAATTGCAAAAACTCAAAATATGGATGATGTAAACAAACAATGTATTCTGCATGCGCTGTATACGTCGCGTGGGTCCCATATCGAATACGAAGAGGCGCGACGACCACCGGACTTTAAATTTCGTTCGTATGTCCTTGAAGAGCGGGTCGATATGGGACTGATAGCGACGTACACAACGCAGCGTAACGACTAACGACCACCGCCCTTTAATGCACGATTGGAGGGTACAACTATATTTTCGCTTATACCTTGAAACCGTGAAGAATCGTGTCGCCCTGTCGGAAACATCTCGCTCATTTAAATATATCCAGGCCCCTCGTATAGGAAACTGTGAAACAGAACTAATGCCCAGACGGATTTTCAGAAAATGTATTAAACATTTTATCTCACAAAATCCATTAGGTATGCAACAGATGTTGACAGTAGTCTGGCGGAGTGATAAGCAGGGAAACATTTGCAATGCGATCGCATCCACGTGACATCAGTACCGCATATTGTTGGCGGTCCAGTATTTACATCAGACAGTCGATGATTACCTCCTGTTTGGCTAAAAATCATCCTCCCCATGTTATCGTTCGGGTAAACGTGCATCACATAATCCCAAGCTGGCCTGCACACCGCTCACAGTGTGTCCGCCCCACACAGACAGAATTACCGTCACTGCTTTACAATTCTATCAATTATAACTGAACTATGACCATTTGTATGGGTAAAAATACATTTCAGAGAATCCGCGTTGGGCTACAATTTTAACCACACACTTATTACTATATGCTTTTATGTCAGAGAGATTGATCATCAGAAATCCTAGAGAGAAGGTATAACTACTGGGCAAATAATTTTTTTCACTTTACTTTTGGGATAAATTTCATTTTCACGACGATGTTTTAAATTGTAAATTTGTGGCTGTTTTCTGTCCAACGTGCGTGGATTTTTTTTTAAATATGTTTGTTTTTGTAATTTTTCTGCCACTACACATCGGTGTAGACACAACGTTAGTCGTGAGTTAGCAGGTTTATAATTAATTAGTAACGATGAGAAATTCACACTGTGTTCATAATTCAATAAAATGCTATATTGAATTACAATTTACTAGCAAATGAAGGGTACATATAGTACAACACGTAAACAAGAAATTGTTGATTTCGACAATGAATTGATTGGATAGTGTCGCCTTATAGATAACAAGGCGGATTACTCTGAGTATTATTCATGTTTCTGGTCAAATAAAAATGTTTTATTTCTTGCTCTAATGTTATTGTGATAAGTGCGTTCAAGCAGAAAGGTAATAGTATATCGAACGTGAGTTCATACTTTCGCCAGTTGTTCGTCCCGTGATTTGCCTGATTATGTCTTGCGCGATCGTGAGATATAATAGCAACCTTGTTCGCAGTTTCGTTTTATGGAAAATGGAATAGTTGATCCACATAAACACAAACCACAGTGTACTTCCTTGATGCAGTCTATTTAACCCCTATAATTAAACAACTCTTTTCATAATTGATTGTCACTTTTGAATTTATGTCTCTCACTAGATTGTCAACACGAGAAGATATTAACCTAATCTTACCTGTGGCACACATTCCCGCGAGAGTTCAGAATAAAATGTAACTCGAGATTGTCAGAATGAATATACTTGTGGGTTAAATTAAAGCGCTATGGTCGCTCTTCAAATCATGGCTAATCTGCCTCTGTCGTAATTCTAGTCAATGTGACGCTGTTCTGGCAGTGTTGTCCTTCCCGAACAAGTCGGTACAATTCTATCTTACATAATAATTATGGGGACATTATACCACGGGTATAACATATTGAAACATGTACAATGTATGTACTATCTTTACCTCGGAAAAATTATCGCAAATTTTTGTAATTAAAATTTACTGACTTTCATTTTGTGTTTCATCTTTCAGGGCTGTTACAAAGTGCAGATGGAACTATTCTGAAACCTATTTCCTCCCGCCCTAGTGGAAAACGAGAGTTGGGATTTTATCAAGAAGTCTTCCGGGATGACCAGTCTGATCCGGTTCTTACCGGTCTAAGGCGGTTTATACCACAATATCACGGAGTTTTAACAATAGAACAACATTATTTTAGTATCCTTCGTAATAAGCACATTCCGTAGTAGAATATATTATTGTTATGACGTTCAATGCATTGAATCGCACAGCCAAACTTAAAGCGCGGTAGTCGTCGCGCTGCGCACATGCCACATTTGTGTTGATAAACATTGATTTTCCCACAATTCAACTTGAATGCGCTCTTCAAATGGAAATTTAAAGTATGAGGTTTGACCTGGTAGCGACTTGCACTGATTATCGCCGGTGACTCCTTCGATGCCTTCCAATAGCATGACAATTTCTCAAACGTCTCAGTTCGTACTCATTGATCTGCGCAACAGTCAAAGTCGCCATCTTTGTTTATATGAGACCCATATATCTCGCACATGCGCAGCGCGACGACTACCGCGCTTTAACATTAATGTTATATACAAAGAAAAACACTTTTGTTGTTGTTTCCCTTAATCTGTTATTTCTAGTCAGCTACATGAAACTCGATGACATCACTAAGTGCTTCAGAAAACCATGCATCATGGACATAAAAATTGGTCGCCGTAGTTGTGTCCGCGGCGCACCGCAAACGAAAGTAGAAAGCAGTACACGAAAACATCCTCAATTGGACAAAGTTGGCTTTCAGATAACCGGCATGAGGGTATGTGTAAACCTTTCTTATTCCGCCAATCTGTATGGTTGTAGTATACGCATGCGCAGTTCTGTATATGTGCGTGTAACATTATTTCTTACTTACGTGGAAGGTGATTCGGTGATTGAAAATGATAAGTATGTACGTTGATGTTTGGAAAGTTCAGAAGACTTCACTTTTCTCTCTGTTCAACGATCGCCATTTTTACCTAATAAATATTGTACTGAATACTAAAAAAATTGCTACTGAACAATTGTTAATACTCAGTGATTCGAAAGGTAACCCGATGCTCTCCGAATCCACGATGATACATCGAATCAGATAATAGATTATACATACATTGCGATAGTGTTTATTATAAAACAAAAAGAAGATCGACTTTTGTTGCCTGGCGGTTTCTTACGAACTTTTCATCAACTTTTCATGCCTATTCAGTAACTGCGGCAATCTTCGGATTCACTCGGAACGGCAATTCTCTGCGTTCGGGCATCAACTTTTGGCATCATTTATTGACGAAATACTATATACCCATATGTTAACACTTTTATTTGATAGTCGTACTGAACCTAAGCTAGCAATTTTTCCTATTGGTGACTTCTTTGTAGACTTTGTCGGGAATTTCTTTCGCATTAGTGTCTTTCATGTTCGGCCGTGTCGGCACGACCCGAAACATGTGTGTAAACGGTCAGGACCGAGTTGGGACGTGCCGAAAAAATCAATCTCTGTCTCAATAGAGAGTGGGGACCGAAACTCGGCACGTGCCGAGATTTCCTACCTGAATGCTCGGCACGAACTAAAACTACGCCCTCGGTGGTGAACTTAAGAAAACTTACGTAAGAGGGCGTGATCTCAGCACTGACCGAGTGAACTAACATGAACGCAACTGCTGTAACCCCCCCCCCTCCAAACATAAAAAAATCGGCACGTGAACGCAGCTAATATTTTATAGATGTTTATATCGAAGCTTATAAATTAATCCCACATCCTATATGCTAATTAATATCAACCTTGTACTTCTCTGTTGCGTAACCGTACAGACATAGTATATACAAGACTTTTAATTGTAAATAAATCAGAATGTGTTCTTAGCAGTCAAACAGTACGTATAACTCGTGCTGTCCACTATTACATGATCTTCTTATATGAGGCGCACAAATTTATAGAGTTCCTCTGGCTCTTTGCTAAAACTTTTACATTTGCTTTCATTTGTATGCTCTTACAGTGAAACACTTACGAATGTACGGCCAAACAACGATATACAATGTATGTGTTATTGTAGCGGCGCATGCGCACAAAGGGAGATTGGGGTCAATGACCTTCAAGTCATAGGATGATTTTCTCACAGAAACATTTTGGAAGTGGTTAATATATATTTGTACATCGATTCAGATGTACATCGATTCAGATGTACAGGCTTCATTTCAATCGGACAATCTATTTTTAGTGTAGCTTCCCGACAGGCTGCGATATAAATTCGAATTAGCATAAATGAAACTACATGTATTTCACATGCGTTATGATCGTCGCATGGGACCCATATCACATAAGACACGACGTGACAACAAATAAATAAACTTCCAACATAATTTATGTGTATTGGATGAAGCTATGTCGTAATGCATCACTACTATTCTCCATCTTGTGTTATAATTCCAGATTTACCACCCTTCCAAAGACCAGTTTGTGTTATATGACAGATCTTTTGGTCGTGAACTTGAAGGACATCTAGTCATGACAGGTGAGTTGTTGACTTTACTTCCAAATTAAATTTAAAATTATTGTTATTATTAGTATGATTACAAATTAAATTAAAGCGGGGGAGTCGTCACCTGCGCATACGTCAGGTAGCCATGGCGTGTCGTTGTTTACAAATAAACGTCTATACACGTTTTTAGCCTGTGTTGTTATCCTCGCTTGGGACTAAATTCCTGCGCGTGCGCAGGTGACACCCCTCCCGATTTAAGTATTGTGCAAAAATAAATGTATGCTCAAGAATCTTTTCGATAATGCTTGATGTTATTTCTACTGAAATAGTTCTTCTTTTCGTAGGTTTGACTAGATATTTCAGCAATAGGAAAATGTTTCGTCGAGACGTAATCCCTGCTTTCATCAGACGCCTAGAAAAAATAGAAAACTGGTTTAATTGTCAAGAAAAATACCATTTCATTTCAAGTTCGTTATTGTTTGTGTATGAAGGTGACATTGCTAATGACGAACATGGTAATAACAATGACGTCATTACAAATGGTGTGAATGATGACGTCATTCGTGATGTCATCAAAGATACCTCAAGCAGTAACAATAGTTCTAATAATACATGTATACGTGATAACGATGACATGCCTTCTGCTGAGAAAGGTACAGGTGAACCAGAAGAATCAGACCACGTGGTGTCGATAGAACCAAACAGATCCCTCATGCCAGAAGATGCTCTAACTGACATCAGGATGATCGATTTCCCCCATGCAGTGCCCTCAACGACAGCGGATGATGATTACCTGTATGGTCTTCGTAAATTGTTAACGTGCTTAAGGACTTTATTAATCGAGGGCCCGGATCAGCACCAGCGTATGTATCTAGATTGATCATACTCTGCAAGAACTTGAAACACCAAATGTGTTTAAAGACTTTTCACAGAAAGTTATTAATCGCAATTTCATGGCGGCGTGTTGGCTTCCAAGCGTCGATATATTTTATATTTAAAAGAACACACACCAAAATGTTTTATGTGGGGGGGGGGTATTGTTTGACATTCAGCTTCTCTTTATCTTTTAGATTGCTTCAGGTTTACGT